TTTCTTTCAATTTGATGTTCGAACTTTATATAATTTTATTTCAGTCCCTAAATAAAAAAAATAGTAAAGATTACATGTTTAGTCACTATAATATTAAATAATTATTTACTAATTAGATATTTAATTTTAATATATTCTAATTTAGTCATTAACTTTAAATTATTAGTTTTTATTATTTTTACTTTCATTTATTATAGTTATTATTTAAACTTTATATATATATATATATATTTAAAATATTATTATTATTATTATATATATAAATTATATTTATTTATTTTATTTTATTATTATTTTTAAATCCTTTATAAATTATTTTATTCTATTTTAATTAAAGAAAATGACTGTCTTAAAACACCTAGAAGTCCGTTTTCTGATATTTTATCCTACAAAATATATATTATTTTTTAAGAAATATTTTATTAATATTTATTTATTTTTTAATATAGAAGAAAAGAGTTGTCTTAAAACACCTAGAAGCCCTTTTCTGATATTTCTAAATAAATAAATAAATATCTTATTATATATATATATAAATTAATATATTTTCTTAAAATTATAAAAATAACATAATTATGAATTAAATATATTTTTGAACTTTTAAATTTTCAATGATAGAGACAATTTATAATTAATAAGTACCAATTTTGGGCGTTGTAGGAGTGCTAATCCTTCCCTAAAACGAATCCCTTTTTATTTCTAAAAAGAATGAATTTTTGGTTAAACGCATATCAGTTTATCTTTTAACTGATGTTTTTTTAAACTCTTTTAAAAGGTAATTTTTAGGTATTCGACCTACCTGACCCAAAAGGCCGATGACGACTCACAAAACATTTTAAAACCATTTATTCATATCACTTTTCCCGCCAAATAAAAAAAATTCGTACCCGGGCGAAAACCGGTTACGACAGTACCAATAGCAGAAAAAGCATAATGAAGGTGATCGGGAAGAGTCCCGTAAATCCGAGTTCCCGATCACGTTTCTCAACATCACTCAGCTCTCGAGTTACCGCAAAGACACACACATCGATCTACAAGAAGCAATGGAATCCGTTGACGGCGGAGCAGCTGGCCAACCCTGCTACCTATGCTGACTGCACGCATTGGTGTTTGCCTGGACTTCAAGATACTTGGAATGAGCTTCTCTTTGCCAAGCTCCTCTATCCTAATTCAAACTGATTTACATGTCAATTTAATATTCTTTCTAATTGGTTTTGGTCATGCCCCTTTTTTAGCCATTAATATTAATCCTTTTTGGGCCATTGATCAACGGAATACATGAAAAGAGAGGAGCTTCTGTAAGATAATAATAATACTAATAGAAGTTGGGCCCAAACCAAATATCTTCATCTTTAAAACTCTTACTTGAAATTCTCAAGTAGTAATATCTTATAAATTAGGTATTTCATCCATTTAATTGTTAACTTAGGTGTTAATTATTTTTTATTTAGATAAACTTATACACATCACACACCATATAAATAATATTGTTTCAATCTGAATCACTGAAAAAAATATACTACTCTTAAAATTAAACAAAAGGGTAACTTTTATCCCTGTAGTAGACTCAATTTATCACTTTCGCCCCTATCGTATTTTCGCATCAATTTAGCCCTCTAAGTTGTTCAATTGCATCATTATATACCCTAACCCTAACTTAAAACCCTAAATACTAAGTTAAAATTTATAATTTAGGGTTTTAAGTTAGGGGAAATGTATAAAACGATGCAATTAAATAACTTTGAGGAAAAAAATGCGATAGAGACGAAAATGATAAATCAGGTCTATTACAAAGGCAAAGATGACCCTTAAGCCTTAAATTATGATTTTAAAATTATTTTATAATTCAAAAATTATTTACTAACATAATACAAAAATTATTGGGTTAATGTCATAAAAAACAACATTTTAATTCTAAATTCCAAAAATGTTTAGGCCCAACTTTTAGATGGTCACCGGTTACTAACCCAGTCTTGACGGTGTAAGGTCAGGTCAATTCCGAGAATTACTGTCCCCAAAACTCCGTGTTGAAAGGTGAGGGTAACATTAATTACGTATTATATTGACTTGCATTTAATCATGATTTTATTCACCCTTTTCGAAATATAAAATTATGTTTGCTTTAATTATTTTATCAAGTTGCAGAGCAAGAAGCTCATGCAGGAGGCCCACCATCTGCTCTTCCAAGCAACTCCCATATGATTAGATTGCGAAGGAAATCACAAGACATTTATACCAAGTGGCCAAAATGGACTTCCGCAACTTGAATTCAAACATATTTTTTTTTATTAAGTTAAGGTGATTACAAGTAGTATATGTTTTAATTATACTTTCAATCATTTGACAATGAACGTTCAACAGTTGTTGGTGCTCGAATCCATAATCTCTAAGAACAACAACGATTCTTTTAACCACTGAGATAAATATAACTTAATTTCCTATATATAAATTATAAATTATTGAATAAGAAATCATGAATCATAGTGGAAATAATAGTAAAAGACATGTTCTTTTAAAAAATAAATAAATAATATAATCGTAATTTCCTTTTGATGAACAAAACTAAAACTATAATTATAATTACATCTTCACCTTTTTTTAAAGTATGATATAAGCCAGCAAATTATAAAATAACCAGCTTGAATTTGAAGTTTCTTTACGAAGAATTCAATATCTCATTGGCACAATTAACATTTTAGTGTTTAGAAATCCTTTGCTTTGTATACGGATATCATCAAATTAAACATGATCATGATGGTTGCTGCATTCGATCACATCAAGCAATATTTTAAAGTTTAACTAACATTCAAGCAATATCCTAATTTCTTTTGAGTTTTATTTAAATTAATGCAACTCATAAATATATGATAATTGTTTAAACATGTTATAGATATACCATTATGTTTAATTACTCTCAAATATAATTATGTAATTAATGTCTAAATCCATACGACCAAATACTAAATTCAATAACAGTGTGTAAAATAAAAAAATATCAACTGCATTAAATGAATACTTTAAATATTACAAAAATTGGTGGTATTTTTTTTATGTAAACAACGTCGAAACCTTAAAAGCCTTGTGCCCACTTGCATCCTCCCTCGTCCTTTTTTTGTCCAAGAAATCCCCTCGTCCTTTGCTCAACAACATATACAATATGATATATGCTAAATTACGCGTTTATTATCTAAACTATCAGTTTTAATTCGTTTTAGTACTTAAACCTTCAAAAAAAATTAAAAATCACACATAAAGTTTAATTTTTGTTTCATTTTAGTAAACACCGTTAAAAATATTAGTTTTTGTTTTGTTTTAATACTTCCGTTTAAAATTTAAAGTTAAGTTTTAAAAAGATTGAAATTTAAGTACTAAAACGGACCAAAACTAATAATTTAGGTACCAAACGCGTTAAGTTTTTATTGGCGAGTACTAAAATGAAATGAAAACTAAATATTAGGTATGATTTTGAAAAAAATTGAAAGTTTAGGTACTAAAACAGACAAAAACTGCTATTTTAGGTACTAAACACGTTAAACTTTTAACGGCGGTTACTAAAATAAAATAAAAATTTATGTATTAAAACAGATACTAAACACTAATTTATCCTGTAATATAATATACATAGAGAGATGGGGAAATATACCTAACAAAAAAGGCAACACTGGCATCAACTTGAATTAAATTTCTTCAACTTAGGATTATAAAAAACTCTAATTAATTAAGCTGCAATTTGCAAAGCACTTGTTGATTCTCTCAACAAACATTTGGATAGTTATGCATATGTGAACTTAATTTTTTTTGGGTTTAATTTAGTACTTCAATTTTATTTATCCAATTTGACATATAATTTTTTTGGACTAATTAGATATTTAAATTTGATTTTTTATTCATATAAATATATAAATTTAGGTTCATAATTTAAATAGATTATTTACTGTAAAATAAATACATCGCGTATCAATTATTAACTTATTATATTAAAGATATTTCCTTAAAAATATTAATAAATATTATATACAATGATAAGACATGTTATCCTTAATAAAAGAATTCAGATTTACATCTTAAAGATAATATTGAACTTAAATATAAAGCAAATATAACTAGAAAAGAAAACTTATTGCATTTGGGGTTGGGGTTGGGGATGGGGATGGGGATGGGGATGGGGATGGGCATGGGCATGGGCATGGGCAGGGTTTCGGCTAATTCAATCCGACCCAAAAAGTTTACATCCTTCATCCGATCCGAAAATATATACCCTCAATCCCACCTAAATAGATCCAATTTTTTGAGATAAAATCCGAACCCGACCCGACCTGACCCGAAATAATAAAAATAAATTATTTTTATTCAATAAAAAAGTGATTTAATTCAAAAAAAATAATATATAGAGGGGTATTATTGTAATTATTCCTAAATATATAGTCGGGTTAGGTTGAATATTTTTCACCCTAAACCTGAATTCGACCGACTCGAACAACACCTAAAAAAAATCCGACCCGACCCCAAAATTTTTAAAAAAAATTCTAGCCGATCGGGTCGGATTCAAGTCCCATGCCCATCTCTAATTGCATTTGGAGCAACATTGAGTGTTTTGGTGTACGAAACGGTCAATATTTCAATGCACATAATAATCAAAACATTAAAAATTGGAATATCTTAATAGAACTTTATAACAGAGGTTAATCCATTTGTAACACCGTGTGAGAGATATTCTATTAATCCAGAGGTTTACACATATTCTACTAATCTAGGGGCGAGCTCAGGTGTTTTGATGTAAAATTGTTCTTAAATCTCTTAAAAATATATAAAATATTAAGTTGATGTATACTAAAATTACATTTTACATTTCTAAAATAAAAAAAATTGTGAATTATAATTTAAAACTTATAAAGTAATACTATATCAGTGCATGAAGATTTGTTGTATGTAAATACCAAACGTTTCTTACTATATTAGGACAACATAATATAAGAAGGAAACCAACGCAAGGGCGAACAAACAAGGTAAAAATCTGGGGAGAATTGTACAAACACATTCATAATTACACAGAGAACAAAAAAATTGAGGGTCATCATCAAAGCTAAAATCTCCACAAAAGAAAATGGTGAAAAATTAAACCCCCTCTGGTAATAAGAAGTGATCATCTTCAACTTCATCATGGATCTATTTGAAGACGAAAGAAAATAGTTAAAGAGAATCAAATGAGTTTGGTGTTTTAGCCATGTTTTCAGCCAATTGAGCCAAGGATTGAAGGTTGCAACGTACAATTGTATCAACAAAAATGCAGGTATCCTCTCTGGTATTACCAGGCGGTACATCAACAACGAATGATTCAACGGCAACCGTGCCTTTACCATTCAGTGAAGCGTGTAGGGTTGTAACCGACCTGTAGTTTCTCAGCCGATGATCGCCTCCCACCACGCTAAAGCTAAGCACGTGACGTTCGTCGTCCAGGATCTCCAGCCTCTCCGTGCTGGAACCTGCTGGGAGACCCGACACCACCTGTACTTCACGAAGACTACCCACGTTCCCGTCACCCACGATCACATGGCAGCCCTTGAGGAAATGTTTGTAAGCCTGAGGGTTATCAAACCTACGAACCAAAGACCAGACCGTATCCACCGGAGCTTCCATGGCTTGAACCACCGCGGAACAACACTGGTTCGGCCTCAAGGTGTGGACGTGGTACGACGAGAACGTGTCCGGCAGAGACACATCGTGAGGAAGAGGGAAACAACTTCTCAGTGTGGTGGGCTGAGCCTGCTGTTTCTGGTGGCAGCCGCCGCTGAAGGTGTTTGTGGATCGGTGGAGCTGCAAGGAGGAAGGCATGCTTTTGTGGGTTAGCTAAGGAGGCGATGAATATTGTGGGTTTTGGATTAGTGTACTGTAAATATAAAAAGGACAAGATTTAAAATAGTTTTCAATATTCATATGCAAATGCAAGAGCTTACGCTGTACACTGCAAGTGGATGGGCAAGTTGCAGGTCTTTTGGACGTAGTTAAGGTTGATTATCTAATTATTTTATACAAACTACAAGATTTCCACTTTCTTTCTCAATTTATTATTTACATTTTACCTTTTCGCTATTAATTAATATTGGTGACAGGTGAGGTTGAGTTGGTGGAACACATCACAACTTATCCAAAAAAAAAATTAACGACGTTTTTAGTCATATAATAGCGTTTATAAGAACCGTTAAAAATTGTTGTGGCGCAAAAACAAATGCAGTAAAAGGGCCACTAATACAGACGCTGTAAAAGTTATTATCTTTAGTGACGTTTTTTACAAACGCCAGTAAAGGTTACTATCTTTAGTGACGTTTGAAATGCCGCTATTTATCTTCTCTTTTGTGGCGTTTGTTCCAAAAAAACGTCGTTAAACGTTCTGACATATAGTAGCGTTTGTGAATATAAAACACTACTATTTACTAAATATATATTGGTGTTTTCTATAGATGCGTCGCAAAAGATCTTGAACTTTAGTGGCGTTTTGTTTTATAAACATCGGTATTGACTATGTATTTAGTGGCGTTTTTTATACAAATGCCGTTAATTAAAACTGATTTTTCAAATGTTGTTTTGTTCTCTTTTATTACCCAAATTAAAATTTTTAACTTGTAGCATTATCTAATAAACTTGAAATCCATAACTAACAAACTTGAAATCCATAATAATAATTCAAAGTTTACATTAAAGTGAAATATAATGTAGTTCAACATTGTTAACTAGAATAAACAAAGCATATATCTAAAATAACAACTAAGATGGTGGACTCTGGGGTTGATTTTGCCGTATCATTTGCATCATAGCTTGAAGTTGATTTTGAAAGTCTTCCCCCTCTTGAGAAGCTCGAACAATCCGCAAATCACTTAATTTTCTCATGGCATAATATCTAAAATAAACAAACAAACAACAATTTTAGTAAAAATATTACTATTAATGAATATATCAAAACATATGAAAAACATATAAAACCACTAATGTCATACCACTACAATAAATTTTAATATATCAAAACTTAAGAAAAACATATAAAAGGAAACAAATATGCTAACATCAATTCTTTGAGAATATGTATTGTCTTTGCGATCATAGTGATAAGCTGATAGCAACGTTTGCATTACAATGTCCAGAAGAAAATTCCAGACCACCCATCATAGCAAGGAAACAGATAGAATGGTTAAGACAACAACAATACCTAATAGATGACTATAAGGAAATCAAATGCTAAATGCAAAGTCAAACAAGTGTCCAAAGACCTTAGTTTAGAAAATATGCACAAAAATGAAAGAAGTTTAGCTACAAAGCAAATTTTCTTATCTTGTCACTTGAGGTTACTAAGTATGACCAAGTTGTTATTATATCTATGGATGACAAAATTTGAGAGGCCAAAAATATGACCCACTCAGCCATTGCCATCCCTAATAATAATCTTAACAAGGAACTATATGCTTGCATCCCTTGTGCCCCCTATCCATCATGCAGACCACTGAGTAGTTGAATTTCTTTCCCATGTCAGATATCTCTTTTTCCCTAGAAAAGTTAACACTAGTTGGACATGACTCAGAAATAATTTATTTACAATACTCTTCACAAAGCTCGAGTGTGATTAAATTAAATTATCATTGCACTGTAAAAGTGGTTGGTTTGGTTCACTCCCAAAAAGAATACACACTCACGACAATTGGCAATGCATACTCGTTTCGCTACTACAATCACATGAACGCGTTCACAGTGTTAAACTCTTACAGCCCGCAATGACTAAAACAATTCATATCATATACATGACTGAAAGCATATCATACTTGAACTGCAAATAGATTGATAGTTACAGTGTGTAGACATCAGTTTAACCATTTTACAAGGGATCACACCAAGTAAAATAAAATATGAAAAGGAAGGATGTAGGAAGAGCACATAAAGTGTTCCCATAGGAGAAGAACTATTGCAAATAACAAAGAATATTATACAAAACCACACGAAGAACCAACAACAAAATTTAATATATGACTTCATACAAAGCTTACATAGGCATATATCATGTACATGCGATAAAATATCTTATTATTGATTTGACAATCCTAACAATATAAGTTGATTGTGTGCATGTGCATGGCCATATTTCAGTTTATATTTAGCATCATGGGCAAAGCCAGAAATTCAGGAAATAGAGCAGGGATAAAAAATAGGCTATTCTTCAAGAAGTTCATACGCTTTTGTTATGTATGTATTTGAACTAAAAACAGACCAACCAACATTGGATGATAGATTTTAGAAAAGAGAAAATCAATGCCTTTACATTACACCTAAAGACATTCCAAGCAAGAACAATTCAAAGATTACTCGAAGGAGCTTGGTAGAAGAAAAAAAAGACAGACAAGAGTCGTATCCTAAAAGCAAAAATATAAGGAATCAAACAATAAGTTTTTTGATCACCTTTCGATCGAGTATCTTTGGTCACAAAGAAACAATTCGGTAACTTTTTTAACAGCGATGGACATTTTCCAATCATAACAAAGGTGAATAAGAAAAACACTAAAGAACAAACATCATAAAAACAAATATATTTTGAAGTTTCAGTTCAAAAGACCAGAGATATGTTCTCAGCAATTCGAATATAATTTGAATCCAAATTCTAAATTACAGTAGCAGAGAATGTTCCACCAGTTCCAAAATTAATGCAGCACAATAGCTAACAACACAAAAGGTAATGATACCTTGCCAACAGCTCCGAGAACTATAGTAGCATCCGAGCATCCATAAATCCTTTAATCAATATATTCCTTCTTCTGTGGTTCCAGACAACTTTAAAAATTAGAGAAAAACAAGACTAAAAAGACAATGATAAAACCCAAAACAAAGAAAGACTACCAATAGAGGAATATTTTTCCTAAAGACGTACCGAATGGGGTAGCACTGAATGGAACATCATCCTATGTTAGGGATTGGAAATCTGTTTGAAACCATGCTACTATGACGACGATAAAATACATACTTGGTGGTTAGTCAAAAAAGTGCGACGACGACGATGCTAGCTTCTGATGGTGGCTGCACTACGGTGGTTGTATTGGGTTAGGGATTGGAAATCTTTTTGAAACAAAAACAGAGGTGAATGATCGAGATGGTTAAATTTACGGTATTTTCAAACTATTGTGGCGTTTTTAAAAAAGCCACCTTTTATCAGTCTATGGTGGCATTTGTAAAAAAACACCATTAATGTACTACTTTTAGCGGCGTTTCTCCAAAAACACCACCTTTTAACAGTTTATAGTGGCGTTTATAAAAGAACACCACTAAAGTTATAATATTAGTGGTGTTTTATAGTAAAACGTGGCTAAAAATCCCGCTATATAACAAACTTGGTGTAGTGACAATTACGACATTTATCAACCAAACGCCACTATATATTTTTCTATTGCGGCATTTTTAGTAAAAATGCCACTATAGGTAGATGACTATTGCGGTGCTTTCCTAGAAATGTCACAAAATTTTGTTATTTTGTGGCGTTTATTCTAAACCGCCACTAAAGGTATACAATTACCAGCGTTTGTAGTAAAACGCTGCAAAATGCCTCTATATATCAAACTTGGTGTAGTGACGGTTGCGACATTACAACCAAACTACTTCAACTTTGAGTTTAGGGTAAATTACATGAATGATCATCCAATTATGAGAAGACTTGAATCTGATTATTAATCTATTATTTCTTAGTCATATCATTTAACTATTTAAACGATATCAATCAAATCACGTGTCATTAACATTTAACGGATAGGTTGACAGACAATTAAAAATTGATATAATTAAATATTTAATTCTCATTATTTATACATTATATTAATCGATCTTAATTTTAATTTAATTTAATTTAGTTCTAGCTTGTGTCACCATCTGATCAAAAGATTAATTTTATTGAATTAAATTAATATTAAGATCAAATTAATAAAATACTTAAGTAAAATGACTAAATATATAATTATATCAATTTCTTAACTATCATGTCATGTTCTCTGTTAATGTCAACTATATATAGCTTAATTGGTACCATTTAAATAATTAAGTGACCTAAGATCACTGGTTAAATTGGAATCACTACATAGTTAAGTGCTCATTGTTTTGATAATTTTATTAAGACTTAGTTGAGAAATAAATACCCAAGTTGTAACTCTATTTTTTAAAATCAAAATAGGTGATTTGTTTTGAATTGATCTCCAAATTTTAAAATGTTCAAATTATTATTGTATTAATGAAGTCTTTAAGTTATGCTTGTCATTAGTTTGGACATTATTTTAGTTATGGTGTAAAATATATTTAAAATTCGTTAATAAAATTATATACACATGTATACAAGTGAATCAAATTATACGTTCAACATAAACATCAATGAAATTGTTATTTATAGGGTAAAGTACACAAATGATGTAACACCCCCAACCATACCGACCCGGATACGAGTCCGAGATGTCACATTGACTTTTTAAAACACTTTCTTACAAAATAACAAAACATTTAACTCATATTAAGAAAATACGATAATATACTATTGAATTATGTTCGTTATAACCAATTTAAGAAAATATACATTTTTATGAACAGTTAAATATGGTATGAACAGTACCGTGAACAGTGCTACAGTGCATCGATACACAAAAATATCGAAGCAAAATTGTGTATCGATGCACTGCTATAGTACTACTATAGTACTTTCGTAAAATATACATAAAACTCGTAAAAATTTAACCGTTCATTACTATACATTTATATTTACATAAATACGTTTAAAACATTAGAAAAGTCGATCAGAGCGTTCGTACTAAAACATTTCTTACATGCCAACATACTATATACAACCAAAATACCTA